CCCCCCCCCCCCCCCCCCCCCAACAATCGAACGCCCCATGAAATACCGGCGACGCGGCCACAGAGTTCTGCATGCCATTCTGGGGTCCCTGCGCCACCAGCCCATCCCCCGGGAGCTGCTGCTGCGTTGCGGCGATGAGCACCCGGGGGGCTGGGGAGACTGTCGCGACAACAACTACGGCGACAACGACAACAACGACGATGACGAGGGCGGTGTCCTCCCCCCCTCCGTTGTTGCTGCTGCTGCGGAGGCGGAGTCCCCCCCGAGCTCCTGGACGACCTTCACGACCGCCTTCGCCCCCTGCCTGAGGCTGCTGGCGGAGCTAACGTGCTCCTGCGCCATGTCCGGGAACGAGCCCTCGCCGCTACTGTTCCCAGTGCCCGAGGCCCCTGCCGAAGGTGAGTGGTGTCTTGAGTCGGAGTTCGGTGAATGTACGGCAGCTCAACTTGACGTCATTCGGGGATGTGTGTGTGTGTGTGTGTGAAATCCCTTGTGTCGGGCTGACTTGTTGGAGGTTGTGTCTTAGGGATGGGTCTTGACTTTTGGTTGGCATGCTTGGATGGCGAACGTGGTGCCTTGAGTCGGGTTTGGATTGTAGGAGTGCGGTTGGTAGTCGGGTTTTGGCTTTTGATCGATGCTCGGGGGGCGGGTGGGGCTAGGGAAAGAGTTAGGGCTGGGATTGGATCGGGTTGCTCGGTTTTGAGGTATTTGGTTTTGGTTTGGAAGCGGGGTCGGGTGATTGGGCTGGGGTTGGAATATTTTTCTAGTGAGTGAATGTCTCACTTCCTCTGCACTTATCTCTGTGCCCCNCCCCCCCCCTGTCCAGAGCTGACGACCAGCAGCAGCAGCGACGAGACGCAACCCGCGGCCGCCAACGGCGACGATGCTTCCGCCTCCGCAGCTGCCGCCCGCCGCCCCATCAAGGCGGTGTTGTCGGTGCCCAGCCGCGTTCTCGGAGCTTGCCTGCCGGACACGATGGACGAGGACCTCAAGAACAAGGTCGGGGAGGAGCTGGTCGTCCTGCCCAACGACGCCGAGGCCGGGATGCTCACGAACGCGGCTGTCCTGGAGATCCTCTTCATGGGCAGGCCCAAGCCCACGATGGCCCTCGGGCTGATGCCGCTCGCCCAGCACGCGGAGCAGCTGCGATGCCTCCTTCGGCTGTCGAAGGTGTGGTTTATGATGACAAGTAGCGGTCGCAAGAGTTTTTTTTTTTTCGGTTTTGAGTAAGCGTGTTGGGGCAAAGCATGCAATCGGGGAAAGTTAAGGGTGGTTTAGGGTTAGGGTTATATGTGCGTAACTCCTCCTTGTTATGTTTCCTCATATCGTTAACTTAATTTCTCGCGAAGGCGGTCCGATGATGATGAACAGCAGCGTGGTCGATGTNGGGGGGGGGGGGGGGGGGGGGGGGGGGGGGGGGGGGGGGGGGGGGGGGGGGGGGGGTTCGTGGTCTGGTGTCGACCGAGAAGTATTTCGTAGGAAAAGGGCCGGTCGGTTGTTGGAACGGTTCTGAAAACGGCCGCCACAATGTGACGATGTGAGTGAAAAAAAAAGCGTGAGTTTCTGTGCGCTTTTCGCCCCCCCTTTTCTGTTCGTCTTACGGCTTGTTCGTCCTTGTTGGCTCTCCCTCATTGCATTCATTTGTGGGAGTGGTCGCGTTTCGCCGCTGCTGTGAAGCAGGCCTCATCATGTATTTGCGACGTGTTCCTGGCTCCGTTGAGCCTTGCTGTTGGGAAAGAAGCCGTCTTGTTGGTTCTGTTGATCGTGGACTCATTTTTGTTCGTTTGTTGTCACTGTTTTATGTTTTTTGCGTCCAGCACCTATGCTGGAACAACACCAGGACGACTCACGCTGTGTTGTGCGAGTGCGCTCGCGGGCTGCACGAGGGACAGATGCCCAGTTTCCACATGCACCTCAGGGTGCTCCTGGGACTCGTCGGCGTCATGGACAGGTGAGCCTAGTAGGTGTCACTACGGTGGTGGCTCCGATATAGAAGGGTGGTGTAACAAAGGCCCTCGACCCTCTTGTATCCGAGCCCCCTCTCGAACAGGAATAAGAGGGTACCCAACTGCACTATATTGCGGGTCGAGTTCGTGACAACCAATTCCGACTCTCTTACCTCGGAGCTCCCCCTCGTGTACGGTGCCCTCTTGTATCGGAGCCATGACTGTACGTCTGCTGCTGTTGGTTGTGGTCAAAGTGGGGTTGCGGCACTTGTTAATTAGTGAGGTGCGAACTATTCCCCCCCCCCCCCCCCCNNNCTCCCCCCGACCCGTGCTCATTGCATTTCGCGTATCCCCTTGCTTGGTTTTCACGTGCGTATTCTGCACGGCCGCCGCCGCTGCTGCTGCGAACAGGTACACTCACATGCGGATTCGCCAAGTGTCCAATCACATCATCAGGGCTGCCGAGATGAACATGGACTACCCGAAGGAGGTATAATTGTACCGCAACAGGTGTCGTGCCGATTGGTCGGTGGGGGGATGGGGGTGGGCGGGTCACGCAATTTTGGCACATCCACTCTTAGCACTATTGGTAAAGATGTTGTCTCCTATTCCGGTTCCTACCGCTACCCCTTGACTATCCCCGCCCTCCCCCCCCC